ATCGGCTCTCACTCTCGGTGAACAGAAATGATTTCTTGCAAATACGGACAAAAAAATAAGAAGAGAAACACCCATGAACACTGAACTAACATCACATAATAGGCAAAATCCTATACAATAATGAATAAGCACACAATATAAAAGCATATAATAATAATACTCTGGGAATTGTGAACAAGGAAAGTAACGATGTGTAATCACAGCAGATAGTAGTAGTAAGTAACTCATGCAATAAATAAAAACTCTTTTCACAGCTGGCACTGATAAATCCCTACTAAGACTAAAACATTTCACACCACCCAGATATGGTAAATTGGTAAACTGTAGAATAGAAAGGCCAAAGCAGTACAGTGTATGTGAACTCCCTACAGACCTTATACAAATGTATCACAATTTGATGAAAGACAGAAATTCTGCAATGTATAAAGAGTAACCTACGTAGCACCTGACTCTTGCGTCCTTGGGTGCAAAGTGAAAACTTAAAGCTATGAACAAACAGAACAGCAGCAAGCTCTTGAGCCTAGATTTTATTTCGGTGCTTTTGAGAAAACTCTCTAAGCTCTTATTTTACTTTGAAGTGAAATTGTGAAAAAAAATCCAAGAAACAAAGCAATACAAGAACCATTTTTCTTCAACATGTAAAAGCACACTGCTCTGTGAGTGTCAGGGTTCAGGACTGAGACATTCATCGAGTGGCATGAAAGTACAAAATAACATCAACAAAAACAAGATTTTGTTCATTTGTCTCACTAAATTAACATTTGAATCAATATACAAATTAATATTATGTACATAAGACTGTATGCAAATACGTTAACAGACTGCTCTACTGTGTCGCAAAATACATTGCGCATCTGTGCCAATCTTTTTTTTTTTCCAATTTCAATATTTTGTTTTGGACCCATACCCATTAATAACAGTCAAACCTCGTTATACCGTTTACTTTGGGACGGGCATAAAGCTGATGGTATAGCGGGGCAGGCAGTATAGACGAATAGCAAAGATTGCCATCTTGACTAGTGGTAGACTGGTAAAGGCAAGAGACTAAAGACAAACTAAGGCCAGTTTTGCCTCCACTAGATCTGTCTTCCGCGATTGCCGTGCACAGGAAAAAATAAACAAGAAGTTACCGAATACATGTGAAACGTCAGGTAAACTTTACGTAGATTCAAATTAAAAGAAGCTAGGATAGGAAGCTAAGCTATTACTATTAGTATTAGACGGGTGTCAAGGACCCCACAGACGTACTGTTTTGAAAAAAACTGATACTCGTTAGTCCTCGGGCCCCTTAGAGCTGTCTTGTAGACTTGAGCGTGAGTCCTCACAATATAAAAGCGAGATATTATTTTGCCAGCAGGCCAAGGTGGCACAGTTCCTTTGAAGATTCTCCCAGCAACTTAAAAATTTCATTCCAATTTTTAAAAAAATATTGGCCATGACCTAAAATCATAGTATTTTCATAATCAACGCAAATCAGGAGCAAATCGACAACAAGCACTAGAAATAGGCCAAGTTTGCAAAGATGTACGTGAGAAAGAGATTATCAAGCAGCCATCGAGTCAGTGCCACGTGCTGATTACCTCTGGTGGCCATTGTGATGACCGTATATTGGGGCGAAACTTACATTAACTTGCAGAGGACTGTACAGCTCAGATAGTTGGCGGATAGCAGATGGCAGTGTAAAAGGCACAAATACGAAGTTATATACAGTCAAACTCAGATACAGTAGATATAGCGGGACTTTTGGTTCCAGTTTCAGAAGAAAAATCCCGCTGTAGGTGAGTTCCCCGGGAAATTATCGAAAAATTTCTTTAAATCCACACCTGCCTTCCATATATCAATAAAACATGCACTTTATTAGAATAGTCTTCCTTTTCTTGTCGGTCGAGTGAGAAGTAGCCTACTTCCTTTTGTCTTTGTTGGAAGCCATCTTTTCCTCGGTCTTGTTGCTTGTGCTGTCTATCGTACCCGTAGGCCTACTGTAGAACTGGTGAAGCAGATGTGTGCATATGACTAAGAGCATCAGAGATCGCAGTTCAATAAATCAGGAATTACACATGACATGCTCTCCTCTTGTTTTACTTTTGGGTCTAGCCAAGGGCTATGGCCTGTCTATACGCTCTCATACTGAGCGAGCGTCTAAAGGGCCGATTACATGTAGGCCTACAGGCCAACCGGACAAATTTCTGGGCCGTATGGCCAATCATAACATGTAATAAGAAATGCGGCTCCAACCGTAGGCGAACATTCGGCAAATGGCCGGCTGGCTTGATGAAAAAAACCCACAGCCACTGCTTGTGAATTTGATGTCCGGCCATTGAAGTTTGCTGCGCCGGGGACAACTGAACTAATTTCAAAATTATAGAAAATCATGTCGTAGACAAAATACCAGATTCAGAATCAGCGTATCAAAATTAGGATAATAGTAATGGCTCACGAGTGTTTCGTTTTGTATTTAATGATTTTCCATTTCAGCACATTTTTATGTTTTGTGTGTCATGATGCACACACGTGCGTGAAATTTCACCCAGACTAGGCCTAGAGTGTAGAACTCGTTGCTCGCGAGGTGTGGCCGCCTTCAGGTCGATTGTGTTGTGTTATAACAAACCAGGTATCCTCGATTTTGTCTGGCCGTACGGCTTGCCTATGGTCCAAAATCTGTCCGGTCGGCCTGTACGTGTAATAGGCCCTTAAGCTACAGAGTGGCTCACGTAAAGCGTCTCTCCGCACTATCTCTCTCTGCCGCCTGCCCCACTTCACTCATCACGGGACTGGCCAATCACAACACTGCACCGCTGACTGCCTGTTTGGAGCCCACCAAAAGTCCCCCAAACCCCTTCCTCCCAGGTAAACCTTGCTCGATCTCTCCCGCTGTATCCGAGTTCGGCCTTTCCTTGCCCCGCTAAACCCGAGCACAGGTAATTGAGTTTACATAGAAAAAAAAAACGGGGTTTCCTGTAAGGTCCCGCAGTCCCGCAGTAGCGGGTGCTGCTATAGTCATGTTCTACTGTATAATAGCACGACAGACGGGACCGGCAGTTTTTCCCTGTTATAAGTGAGTCTTGTTATAACCACTATCAAGGGAAACTACCAGTATCATTGCACCTTGAGCTTACTATACCGCAGATCCTTTTCCAGTGGGCTGTTTTGCTGACACTGAGATGGAATCGATCAGTGACCCCAACACTATGGGGGGAGGAGGGTATGGGTTTGAAAGTTTGTCTATCATACAAACAGGCAAAATGTCTTGGTTGAAACAAATTTTAATAATTTGACGGATCGAAAGTAAATTCATGCGCTGCAACATCACTGCTATATATCCAAGTCTGCGCAAATTGAACCCTGTTACAGTCAGGTTCATATTACTTACACCCCGGGGATTTGATTTATCACTGTCATATATCCAAGTTCTTGTAATAACAGAGGCTGTTATGAATGGACTGGACTGTAGGTGTTCCTTTTCCTTTATTGGTAAAATATGGCAGTAAGCGGGGCAAGCGGTACAACAAGCTTTGACTGCATTTTTGAAAGGTTACCGACATGTGTGCACTTATCCTCTATACCAATGAATAAGTACAAAATTTTAATTTATTAAGTCTACTACAAGAAATAATGTATGTCTTACATTATAGAGCAAAAAAAAGAGAGATGAGAGCTCTGATGAAAATAACACTATCGCCAGAGCACGTTATTTTGGAGGGTACCAGGCAACAAAAAGTCACTGTGCCAGTAACTTCCTACATTTCTACTCGACGTTTTCAAAGCTGACAGTAGTGTAGCTTAAAGCATTTCCTCCACTGTATTAGCAGCATTCAAGCTTATGTACATCATCATTGTAGAGGGAACATTTTTGCTTCAGTTTTTTTCTAATGTAAAATAAATGTTCTGCACCCAAATCAACATAACAAGACAGTACAAAATGGGACATATCTATTTTTCCGGTTTTGAGAAAGAAAATAATGAAGATTTTCACTCATTTATTATGGAATAATCTTGAGCAACTTTGTTTTTTGAGTAAACGTGATGTAACTGTAAGGCATAGTTGATATAATTTGTTGTATGACGAAATCTATCTTGGATTCTGATCCTTTACATTTTTGACATGTCCACAAATTTTTAACAAAACATATCAACATTCCAAAAACAAGGAAGAGATAGACCTGCTGACAAAACTTTCTTCAAACACAAGCAAAGTCACATGAGTCCAGGAAAGAACTTGATTGGAGCGTACAGGATATGTCACAGTTTGTCAAAAAGTTCTACCGCTTTTGTTCCATAAAATGTTTCACCCTCTACAATAAAAAAAAAAAGACAAATTGCATTTTGTGAGAAAAAAAATTGGAATGTGCCTCACCTTTTTAGACAAGACAGTACAGTAGAAGTCAGATTCAAGGAGAACTCGGATTCAATAAAAAGAGAAGGATTCCCCGTTTTTTTCCTTCTTTAAAATCAATAAAAATAACTCGCATTCAACAAACACTTAAATCAGCAAGCCCAGATTCAACGAGGTTGCTTCCATGGTGAACAGCCCCTGCAGACGTAGCTTCGCTCATTTTTCTTCCACAACAAACGTTATTCCCCGAAACCATCAATTGCACCAGCATCGTGGACTATTATTCACTTAGCTGATTGCATGCAACCAATCAGCGGCCTTCTTTCATACCAACACATGCGTAGTTGGCACGCGAACGTGTCTATTCTAGTGTGTGTCGGGGTCGGATGGGGGGCCTGCACACGTGTGACTGTGTACGTTTTGGGGGGGGGGGGGGGAGAGACCAGCGGCCCGGATGTGGAACATCGCATACGCGTCGGTCTTTTTCCCCCTCGGCATCAGATTATTAATATTATTACAATGATAAGCTAGTCTTGACGTAGATCTACGTAATGAATTGCGCGCTGGTCTATGGAATAAAAAATTGGCGTATGCTAGGCTCTACACAGCAACACAACTTTTGGCAAACAATCGAGATGACAAAGGCATGCATTTGAACGAATTGGTCTTTTTTTTTTTTTGCACAGCTCATACTACGCAGACATTTCAGTCACCACTTGTTGTTTCTTTTCATACATTACTTGCTTAGTGCCTGTAATTATCTACACAAAAACTCATGTCTGCTATAACGAACACTCGGATTCATCGAGATTTTAGTTCAGGACCGGCGACCTCGTTGAATCCGAGTTCCACTGTACTACTTTTGGCCAAACTTTGAAAATAGTGTTTGTTGTGTTTTGTCGGTATACATTTCTAATATGACTAAAAGGAGGCAGGCTTCTTCCACCGAGCTCGTCAGGACAAACCTGGTTGAGATGAGACTAGATATCTACATCCAAGCAGAAATATGTGAGGCAATGAGGTGCAATCAGGCGCTCGTCAAAAGAGTGAAATCCAAGAAATCTGCATTTTTTTGGCCAATGGGCAATTTTGTTCTAATTTTCTTTTTTTGGCTCAACACATTTTGTCCATTTTAAAACACATTTTTGGGTGGAATTTACTGAGATTAAAAGCATAGAAAATGTAAATTTTCACAAGGCAAATGAACAGCCTTTTAAGATGATACCAATAACCTCATAAGCCCAAAAATTGACGAGCGCTTGATTCCACGTCCTGACACAAATGATATGGTTTGATGACAAAATGTTTCCTCCACAAGTGAATTGAAACTCAAAAAAATCACACATGAGGAAAGAGACCCATCACATTACACATACAACTATGGACCCTGAATGTTAAAATATTTCATAAAAGAAGTGATAGACCCTAGATGCAGGTTTTACATTTTAACAATGTTGAATTTATGGCACAAGTCAAAATAATACTGTGGACAGTCCCTATTGAAAATGAGAACAAATGGAAAAGGGTTGGGATTCCAAAGAAACTGCATTTAGAGAAGATAACCTCCAAGCACACCAAGTGATTTCTTTCTCTACTCATACAAAAACACAAAAGCTTCCACAGCTGAATAATTCACAAACCATGCATAATTGAAATGTTGACTTGGAAAAGGAAAATCAAAATTGAGGAGCAAAAGAGGGCTTGAGATCTTAAGAAACAATAACAAAACACACGCACACATAGTAGATCCTGAACAAATTTCACAGAGCTGATGTCTGGAGTGTCTCTCACACTGGAATCTACTGGTCATATAAAGCAGGACTTCAAATAATAAAGAAGATCAAAAGGAAAAATGACTGTTTATCCCAATGAGGAAGTCTTTAGGTAGAAAAAAACATTTCAAACATGATACATAAATTCAGAAAACAGTGTTTCGTAAAACAGTATAAAATCACTATGCACAATTTCACAAATATAGGGGCCTACCATAGCTGATCAAAGTAGAGCAGTTCCCAGTTTTCGAGCAATCACATATTGCTTGCTCAATCAATTCCTTTGATCATGAAACCAAACTCTTAGTTTACCCAACCTGCTGACAGTAGTGACAGCACTGCTAATTGATCAAAGCTTTTCAGCCATCACAGGACAGACTAGCATCAGACAGGTGGATATGATATCTTGTCACAAAACTAAGCTACAACCTATCCATCCCTTCCCAAACTCCCGAATGTTTTTCCTTTTTGCACCATAATATATTATTATTATTATCCCTTTTGTGACCTTCGAGTCAAATTCTCGAGCTAGTATCACACAAATGTCACACTACAGGTTGGTGGGTACGCTGCTCTTTCAATACTTTTCACTGAATTGCGATTACGATTACCCTTCTCAGTTGCAGAAATACGGGAGTCACTGATGATGACCTGCTGTAAATTACAGCTCGACACGAACAGGCGAAAAACCAAACAATCTCACAACAGCTGGATCCCACCAACCAAAACTGTCATCCAAAACATAATTCTCAACAGTACCGCACCAACCCAGTCAGGAATATTGGATCCTCTTGAGTTACCAAAGCCCATACCATTAAAAAACTAAAAGTACAAGAGCAGACCATCCTGTCAATGTACCATCAGCACAGAAATTTATCAAACCAATCCCATACACAACTCTGAGAACCATAACACATCCTCACTTGGAAAACTGAAACCAACAAAAAACTAACTTCATGATGTAAGTGTAAGCACAATCACAGAAAAGACACGAGTCAAAGAATGTACCTGTAACGATGTTAACATGGAAAACTCAAAGCTCTTAAAGGCTGGGATCTAAAAATGGAATGTTTCTTCCACCCAAGTCAATGTCATTTCTTACACATAGGCAATAGCCAACAGTCTTTGATAAGGTCTTGAAAAAGTTAAAGCAGAATTATGATAGCCCTCCACTTCTATACCTCGTGACATATATTACTGGGGATAAGAAGGACACACAAAACTATAAACAAAAGAAACTTTGTCCAAGTCTTTTATATTTTGTATAAGAACTGACCTGAACTGAAAGAAAATAGAGCAAAACATCTACGAAAAACAGTACTCCAAAACAACCTAACTAAAAATATAATCTATTCAGCTCTATAGGATATCTTTGAAAGATTCAATACATCCACATCAAAGGCACTCTTAAAAGTGAGTTCTCTAATCCTGAAAGTCATTGTAAACCACAGCCATATGCAAGCTAATATAACACTGACATTCACCACATGAACACAACAAATTTCTTATGGTCTTACTTACACAATCTGCAAACCTAGGAAAAATGAAACCTAAGACTTTTCATACCGGTCATGAAAAATTTCAAAAACCCCAATCCCACCTCCATTCAAAGATAAACCAGCATTTTTTTGTTTGTTTTCTTCTTCTTCTCGATCAAATCACACTTGAAGACCGGCAGGCCCCCTACCTATTTCTTTTGTCTGAATTATACAATCTCCCAGTCCACATCCTCAGAGACAGAGCTGCTTGTGCTGATGCTTCTTTGGAGTAGCGGGTCAGACACGTCTTGGGAGCGAAGGAGGTATTGTGTGCTGCAATGCATCAGATGACCTTCTGTGTTGATGGCCCACAGGTCATCTGAAGGGGAGGCTGAGAATGGGAAGTTGAAGTAGTTATTATGAGTACTACAGAACCAGGTCAAGTAAAAGGAAATGCATTGAAAGATAAAAGATCATTACGAGCAGCAAAAAAAAGGAAGACAGACAAAACAAAAATGCCAGATCGAAAAAAAAAAAAAGAGAAAAAAGACAATGCCCTACCTCTGGCACCTTCCACCAACCATCTGCACTTCCAAAGCAATGAAACTGATACAAAAGTAATGAAGCACAAGTGGACATATAGTCCAGATAGCTTTACGTGGCATACAAGAAACTGTTATCATACACGAGGCGTTAAGTTAACTTTATAAAACATGTTAAAATAAAACCCCCCAAAACTATTTGTCATGGAATGCAATACAACTGTGTTACCAGCATATCAGTTTTATTTTTTTTTTAAACCCCAAAAAACAAAAACAAAAGTATTCATATTTATAAAACAGTATAAATGGTAGTGAGCTTCGAAAGAGAAAAACATTTTTTTCCGCTATGGAATATGAAATTCCTTTGTTATCAGAGGGTGTGCATTCCTACTGCCAGCACTAATTTTCAGCAAAACTTATTAGTTATGACAGCTGTCTCTTGTCTCAGTTTTAGTAGACTTACTGTCGAGATCAAGCCCTTTCATGACATATTTCAAAACCCCAGTCTTTAATAGTGTCACTTTCCTCATTCCCTCTTTTCCCCATCTAGCCCATAATAGAAAAAAAAAATTCATCTCCAAGACTAGACATGTGTTTATTGATCGCTTGCAAGCCTAATAGTAGGTCTAAACAAATACTTGCAAATTTGGTACTGATATGTGCATTTTTGATTCCCAAATATGAATCCATGCTGTGCTTGTGGACAAGTCCTTGTGCAGAGAAATTACAGCCAGATGATTAGCGGGATATAGGCCTACATATAACATCTTATAAACAACAAGGAACGGCAAATTTTGCCAACATTTGGGTCATCCAAGGCACAGAGCAAAGCTAAAAATAATGTATTTTCGTGATGTACCAGGTACGTCATAAGGCAACAAAGGCATTAAATTGATGAATTATCACCATGATGTAAAAGTACTCTAAACACTTTTCCCATATTATTTCTGAAGCATTTAAAGTGGTAAGACAGTCTTCCAGCTACATTATTCCCCTGTAAGAATGAGTGACTTTTAAACATTACAAAATGAACACAATCCATTGTGAAAATTAAAAAGAATGATCCTCACATACCAGAAATTTTAATGAAAGTGCCAGGGATTTTCTTCCAGTAGTTCCCAGCCGGCCGCTCTCTGGACACTCCATATCGAAAATAGACTTCACCAGTCGGTGTCAAGGCCCAGATGCCACTTCGAGTGAGTGAAAGATCCATGGCTTGGATTCCTGGAGAGAGTAAAATGGTCAGACGGCAAGCATGAATTACGAACACAATCCTCCCTGCCCCCCTCCCTTAAAAAAAATGAAAACTATTAAAATTTTTACATTGAAACAGTAAGTGAACTTGAGCACTGTCTTTTGAATGGCAAACCAAGTACAGTAGTCTCTGCCTAAATGCACGCCAAACAAAAGCACGCTCCGCTCAAACGCACACTTTCGTCATCTGACGTATTTTTTTTACTATATAATTTAGACGTACAAACGCACAGTTACTCCCTCTAAGTAGTCTAAGCGCACGCTCTGACCCGCGAAACACGTCGACAGGTAAAGCTTGACAAAGGGAACTTTTCACTACAACCTGCACAGCTTGCAAGACAAGCCTAGAAAACCGGATATTTGGTGAGACTTCTCCTCATGGCGAACAAAGAGAGTGGTGGACAGCATTTTCACACCCAACATTTCATAGACACATAGGTCTAGGACTGGTCGGTGAAATGTTGGGGGGTCGGGTGACTGAAATGTTTTTTCATTGGTCACTGGAAATGCATCTTTGAGAGAAGGTTTCTGACTGGTGTTTGGGTGACCGCATGTAATGTTTAGTATCGTTTAGACCTAGGCCTATGATGGGCAACACGCGTGAATGCTGTAAAACATTAGACAGGCCTCTATAAGATTAAAGATTAGTCAAGTAAACCTAATCAGCTGCGCTCGAAGAGCTTATAAAGTACTTGTTCAACGAATCCGAAGAGAAGTATTTTTTAAAAAATGTATAGAGATCTATGATTCTGATGTCGTTCAATTTACCGGTCGGGGGTGGTCGCTTTGAAAGCCACGTGGCTGCGCCGTTGTCTCTATGACTATCGCCAACAATTTCCTCTTAGGCTGTCTGTTCCTGACATTTTAGTAGTGTCATACCGTTACATTGAGTCTGTTTTTCTGCGCGCCTCCCCCCCACCCCCCCTCCCACCCATTAAACGCCTTTGTATTTTTAACCACAGTCGGGGAATCCTTCACAAATAAATCACGTGTCGCAACATTATCGTTCCAATGTGACCCTCACCCCTAAGGGAGGTCACTAGAATATCAAGGCAATGAGACGACTGTGTCCCTTCCTCCCTTTGCAAAGGTTCATGCAAACGCACGCTCCGTATAAACACACGCTTAGGAGCCCTCCCGAGCACTGTGCGTTTAGGCGGAGACTACTGTATATATGAGTCGGGGGGGGGTGGGTGGAGAGAAATCAATTAAGATTTGATTTCAGTGAAAATGTACGTGAAAATACTGGATTTTGTAAGATAGCCTACTAGGTTTTCAATCTGAAAGGCAGAGCAGGAAATAAGCCCCTCTCTCACCTGGTACGTGGATCCATTCTTGTCCAATGGGCAGGTGCTCAGTGATCCCAACCCTCACATAGGTCAATCTACGGTTGTCAACTGCCCATACCTGAAGACCATACAAAACCGCTTCTGGTCAGAAGAGTGACCAGCAGAAAAGAATTCATCAACAGGTACCAATTAATGAACTGCATCTGAGAACAGCATAGGAATGGATACATAGTGGGCCAATACAATGAAATTTTAACTCACTTGAGCCTATTCTCGTGTTTTACGGGATGAGCCGCCGGCCAGGAGGCTGAGTCCCATGTATTTACGAGATGCGTGTGCCACCAGTAGACCCACTTGTTTCGTTTCCCAGAAAATTTGGTGAAGTTATGTGCGATATTTTGAGCTGTAACAGATTAAGTCAGTCACCCCCGCATTGCAATAGATGATTTTATTACAAATTGGGTGCACAAAAAAATACATAACCTCGGACATTGCCCTTTCAAAATATTGATAAAATAAAAAGTAATCAGACAAATGAGACGTAGTTTTCTTTTTCAGCGAGAAGATTTCATTCTTTCTTTTGTTGCATTTTGTTTATTATGATGGGTGACCTTATTTAGGCCACATATGGCCTAAATAAGCTAAACCCCCCTCCCTTACCTTATTTAGGCCACACCTGTGGCCTAAATAAGCTAAACACTCCTCCCTTACCTTATTTAGGCCACACCTTTATACAAAGTCACAGAAATATTCCTTTTGTGCTTATTGAGGTACAGTGCAGGGTGATTTTACCTGCAAGGATAATTGGACAAAATGGGCAAAATCTTTATTGCTAATGGTCATATTTAGACAAATCCTATATCATTCTCTTTTTTTTTCTTAACTGCTCATGGTTATTAAAGAGTAAGCCAACTAGGTAGTAATTTCGGATTCCTAAGACTAATATTATGGGCATTCTTAAAAATTTTTAACTTGTTTTTAGCGCTTTTCTCAACGTAAAACGGATTCCGTAAAAAAACAATGACCTTATCTTTCTTTTTCAAAGTATTGTGCATATATTTGTGTGAAACTATATATTCTATGCTTTCATGTACATGAAAAAAGCTAATAAAGGCAAGCAAAATGTTCTTCAGAGACATAGATCTAGTAGTAGGCCCACTGAATTTTTTTTATAAACCGGGAAAGATGACCAGAAAATAACAAAATTATTTTATGATCTTCACTTGCACTTGCAATTTTTTGGATAAATTATAGTCTACCTCATTGTCTTTTTTTTCCATCATTTTTCTTCACTATTCATGACAACTGGCATGTATTGTTTTCCGTTATTATCAAGAAAGTGGATAGGCGGACTACGGGGTCTATCTAGCCAAAAGGATAGGTGGACCCCGGGGTCTACCTAACAAAATGCTAGGATTTAGGATGTGAACCCCGGAGTGAGCGTAGTGAAATAAGTAGTAGATCTAGGTTTAACTAAGGATCGGTGGACCCCGGGGTCAACATAGTGAAATAAGTAGATCTCAGTTTATTTTATAGTAGGACTGGCAGAGCCCGTGGTCAATGTAGTGAAATTATAAGTAGATATAGGTTTAATTAAGGATTGGTGGACCCCGGGGTCAATGTAGTGAAATCAGTAGATCTAGGTTTAATTAAGGATTGGTGGACCCTGGGGTCAATTTAGTGAAATAAGTACATGTAGATGTAGGTTTAATTTTAAGGATTGGTGGACCCTGGAGTCAACGTAGTGAAATAGGTAGGTTTACGGTGGACCCCAGGATCTACCTAACGAAATGTTAGTTAGGTTTTTAGAATAGGTGGAACCTGCGGTCACCGTAGTAAAATAAGTAGGTTTAATCTAGGTGTCCCGGGGGTCCACCAATCCTTAATTAAACCTTCTTATTCCTCTACGGCTATGGTGACTCCGGGGTCCACCAATCCTTTAAAAATTGACCCTACTTATTTCACTACGCTGTCCCCGGGGTCCACCAATCTTTAAAGAAACATACTTATTTCACTACGGTGACCCCGGGGTCCAACTGTCCTAAAACCTAGTATTTCGCTAGGTAGACCCCGGAGTCCACCTTAAACCTGCTTATTTATCACTACGTTGACCCCGGGGTCCACCAATCCTTACTTAAACCAAACCTTATTTCACTACGGTGACTCCAGGGTTCACATCCTAAAACCTAGTATTTCACTTTGCAGATCCCGGAGTCCACCTATTCTCTTCAGGACTAAACTATTATCAATTTGCAATTTTCATTGATTAGCATATTAAAAAAAAAATATTGAATCAGAGACTCGCTGTCTAAAAAGTCCACTGCTAATGCTATTCTTTTCAAAGAAAATGGCACAATTTGATTTTATGACATGTTGAAAAAAAGAGTTTTAAAAATACATGTTTATCCCGAAAACAACATAAAATGATTATATAGATCTCTCTTTCTCTCTCTCTCTCTATATATATATATATAGGTGTGTGTGTGTGTGTGTGTGTGTGCGTGTGTGTGTGTGTGTGTGTGTGTGTATTTTATTATGTATACTAAAAGACTGAGCAGAGGCTTACAATGTAAATTCTGAGCTCTACAAGTAGAGAAAATCTTAAGTTTGCACAAAACAGATTTTAGAAAAAAAGTTGGATCTAATTATTCTAATAAAAGTAAAAGTGATTGTTATGCTGAGATTTGTTATTATTAACTCTGGAAATACAGTTACTTGCTGAATCTAAAAGTAACTAGAACTGTGCAATTCGTTTTATTTCAATTCCAAAGCCCAAAGGCATAGCAATAATAAGTTAGATCTAGATCTAGCAGTTGTAGGCTCTCTGGCTGCTTCTAGCATAGGCCTGCTACTACTGATTCTAGACAGGGAATCTAGATCTTGCTATCGCCTGCACTATTAACGTCAAATATATGGTAAAATAAAAACAAAACTGAATTTTTTGTCAGTCAGTACATCCCAATTACCATAGCCGCACGTATTAATAGTTGAATAATGCGATACCGAAGCAACACGTTATCACAGTGTGCAGGGGAGAGCGAGGTGCTTGGTCGATTCGGTGGTTCGGCTTTTGTAGATCTATGCATTTTTTACGGAAAGCCCTATTACCTGGCCTATTACTAGATCTATTAGTGTTGTGAAAACTTCAACCTCTACAGCTCAGGCGTCAAAAGATGCTGGAAAATAATAATACGTCCTGAAGTTTCATAATTTATTTTTATACAGAATAACACAGTACACAGCCAGTAGTTTTTATTTCATCGAGTTATAAAAATGGCCTTCGTATAAAAATTGCCTTGTTTTCAGAAGCAAATTTTAATAGTTCTAGTTCTACCGAATCGATTTTCACGCGAATTCAACCATTTTGATGATCTTTCTTTTCCTTTTAAAAAAATGTAGATCTAGGCCTGTCGGATGTGGCAGTGCGAATAACACCGAGTTGTTTAGATCTAGATCCATCAAAACACGAGGCTTCGTGGCCGATCACAAAAGTCTACGGGGCTTATCGAGGCCGATTCGCCCTGCTGCGAGCACGTTCACTAAACTGCCTACTAGATAGAATCTACTACCAAATATTCTCTACACGATCTTTGCTACTACTACTACTAGGCCTACTAGCTTACATGTACTACTACGAGACAGTACGAGAGAGTGTCACTCAGGCAGAGATAGTGTAACTTTGACTCAGCCACGTAGTGTACACACTTTTTATACCCCAAATTTAACCCGGAAGTCCATTCGGAGGATTTGACCTTTTCACTTGACCAAAGTGTGCCAAAATGGTAGTCTAGCTTTTGCCCCTCCATGAAGGAAAAATCTGGCCCTCATTCAAACCATTGGGAGTGAGCAAAATTTTGCGTATTGTGCTTTGTTCTTTACAATATTCATTATGGTTATGATTTATAAGTTGTACACTGAGACAAAACCGTACTAAATGAGAAAAGTGCACCATTATGAAAGTGGAACGAACTCAGTTGCCTGAAAAGGGTAGTTTGAGCATGTGTGGCCTAAATAAGCTAAACCCCCCTCCCTTACCTTATTTAGGCCATATGTGGCCTAAATAAGCACTCCCTATTATGATAGCTTCCACAGTCTTTTTGTGGTTAATGATTCAATATACCCCAAAAGTGTCAGGCTGCAATAGTTGTTGGGTGAAAAATAGCTCAAGCTCAAGTGAGTTAAATCCATTCTCTCTCCATTAACTCCTTCCCTTACAACTTATGACAAAGAACCCTTTAAAAAGTAATTCATCCATCTTTCTGTTTTAAGCAATTGCTATGAACCCAACATTAATTAACTAAGTATTTTGAAAGCATAATAATGGTCAATAAAAAAGATAAAGACTTTTCTCGTTATCCATCAGAAGCAAACAGAAACGTTGTATTAAAAAAGAAAAAAAAGAAAATTCCACACCATCCAGTCAAGGGGCCCCACATTAACGCGTGTGAACACGATGTCCGCAAACGTGTCGATGGGCAGCCACACAGCACTTAGTGTGTTATCCGAGGGGGGCTTAGCTCCAATACGCTGGTAGATGACTCCCTCCGACTCCACCGCCCAAACGTACAAGGTGTTACAGCTCAGGTGAATGATGTGGGCATCACCTGAGGTACAGGAACCCAAAAGGGACACATTCAAATGATGAAATTAAGAATAACACTGAAAATTAAAAAAAACACACATTTAAAAAAAGTTTTTCTTTTTTCTTTGGTTGGGGGATTTGGGGCGGAGGGGGGGGGGGGGGGAGGGGGTGGTGAGAATTTGAGTGAAAAATGATATAGAAAAAATAAATGTCATGCTCACAAGTCCCTGAAAAAAAATGACATATGAATATAAATTGACAAATCATGACGTATGCCGGACCAGAGGAAATGGAAGAACAGATGCATATATACAATAAAAATACAGAAAGATACATTTTATCGTCGGCAAGCTGTTCACACAATATTCTGACTCTAACATTTTGAATATTTTAAAATTGATTCTTAATGTGTGGTGTTGTTTTCATGAGCTTGAAATCATCATTTCAAAGAACATGAGCATTACTATAATTAGCCAGAAAACTATGAGCTGAGCATATGAGCACGTAGCATCCAGCTAAACAAGAAGGGTTATAAGGATAATACGGGGGAAAAAAAACAACAAAAACCCCCCCCCAAAAAAACCCAACAACTGGAAGACCCCCCCCCCCCCCCCTGCCTTTCAAAAGAAAAAAAATAGCAATGACCTTGCAGTCTAAGTAATTTTTTAAAACAAGCATGGACAAACTATTGCTGGTGGGCCAGATCTAGCTCTCAAGCAATTTCAATCGGGCCCGAAAGTCGACCCACTAAGTATTATTAATGAACGTGGCCCACTGTGTATTGATAGAAAATTAAAAAATTTTAAAAACTGTTCACCTTGAAAATTAAAGCTAATAATATGTTTTTACCCATCTGCAAGCAATTGATCTTATATATTTGTTCTTAAGAAATGCCCTTGAATGAAATAATAATATGCTGTAGTTTTAGGTTTAATCTCACTTTTGACAGCTGGGGTAATTTAACCAATTTCACCAAATTGTTTCCTGCTTTGGCTTGCAAAATATTTGGAATTGCTTACCCTCACCTGCGACTTGCTCACGCATGCTGTAAAAATTAAACTAAAAAAATGTTGCGGACACATGCTACACAAAACTACCTACCAAGCTGTGAAAGGTCAAGGTTCACCCAGCTGGAACCTTGAGGACAGCGTTCATTCATGCCGGCCCTCACCTGAGAAGTAAACGTGCAAATGAGATTAGGATAAGGTAAGATGAGATCAGATAAACTTTATTGATTCATGGGGGGAAATTTGAGTGGATATAGTTTGATTTAGCAAGAGTTTTACGGCACCTGCGACACAAAAAGGTCATATAAGTGCTGAAGATTGGAGGTGTTACAAGACAGAAACAAACACAAAAAAGCAGGAGATATAAGTTTTAGTTTTTGTAAGAGTTTTACGGCATTTGCAACACAATAAGGTCATTGAAGTGCCAAAGATTAGAGGTGTTACAAGGGAGTAACAAACACAAAAAAGAAGGAGGAGAGATATGGACGATAGATGTTTGATAGGCAAGAGGGAGCAAACCACACCAGAGCACCCGCCAACCACCTGTAGAGGGGATATACCAGAACATCGACATACAAAAATTCAGCATCAACACAGAAATGAACTCAGTACATTCATGTTCAAAGATACATGTGCACAACTCAGTCTCACATGCATTTCCCAAACAGTGAGCGTGTGTACATGGGTGCATGTATACATGTGTGACCATGTGCATCTGAATATATGCCTTACAGACCCATTCCATTCAAAAGGCTAGCAATTTCTTGAGCAACAGATGTGGACGTGTGCTTGTATGTGTGCTTGTGCACACATAAAGAATACGCTTGCCGGTGCCAGCATGTATACTTAAAACATTGTATGGGTCGTCAAAATACTGAAATCAAGGAAACCGGCATTTTTCTTCTGGTTTGGCAATATTTATCGAATTTTTGTTTTTTTGGCTGAGCATCTTTTGTCTATCTAAAAACACATTCCTGTGTGGATTTTACCGAAAAACGTTTATTAAAGGGACAAAAACTGTAAATTTTCAGTTTTCAAGGACTCTTAAGCTATGGAAGTCACCAAACTCAGGCAGCCATTTTCTCGCTAATTTAACCTCTGAACCCGGCGACCCCATCCTCCCAGCATTTATTTATACCGAGAAGATCCGAAAAGACCCGAAAAGACAGCTGAAAAGACCAGAGAAGACACTAAATGACCCGAAAAGACATGCATGGTTTATTTATTCATTGTTTATTTATCTGTTGTCACCACTTCTGTAAAAACAAAAATAATGTCGATCCCTTGTGGAGCTACTCTTAAAAAACTTAAAACACTTACACTGACACTAATTTCTTTCATTTGCTTAAAAGGGGTATTATTATTGATCTGTTTGTGACAAATAAATAAATAACAAATAAATAAACCATGTATGTCTTTGCGGGTCATTTAGTGTCTTTTCGTGTCTTCTCGGGTCTTTTCGGGTCTTCTCGGTAAAAATAAGTACCCCATCCTCCTTCAATCACAAATATCTTGACATATATTCAAGATAAAACGATATTTTTTTCATTCAAAGCAAGGCATCAACCCCAGCCCTCACCCGACTGTACCTTTATAAAAAATCAATAATCCCCTTTCCGGAGCCCCATACTTTGCAGCGCACAGACTTTGAATGAACTTTGGTGACCCCAACCAGTACTCACAATGTGATGCGAAAGCACAGGTTCACTGACCGGTCACGATGGCGAGCCCGACAAGACGTGTGTATGACTTCCTTTTTTTTAACAAGTGACAGCACAGGACAAATATAGATTTATTTTCATTCCGGTTACCGTGTACATAGATACTGAGACTAGGTGCCCGGTTACCGTGTATGTAGACACATGCATCGTGAAAGAACAATATTTACGTGCGCGCGCACACACACACACACACACACAAACACACCACGTACACCTTACATGCGCGCACACATGCACACCACACACACACACGCACGCACCTACTTTCTGATCACACGCGCACGCTTACACACATTAGATCTCTATCATGTCTCAGTTTGTGTTGTACATAATGTATTCCGGCCTGAATTTACGGTTATAGCTTTTAGAGTACGCCTAGTAGACTAGAGCTGGGCCGAAACCATGATTTACGAAGGCCTATCGGCTCTGTACTCGCACCATTTCGAATTAAAAATTCAGTTAAAATTAAAGCGTTGATGCTATTTTGCCTAAAATTGCAAGAAATTGCGAAAATTGCAAAAAAATTGCGGAACTCGACGAAAAACGTGGCTGCACCGCGATTTCCTGGGGGGGGGGGGGGGGGGGGGGCAAAATAATTAATTTTTAGTATTATGAACTGCCACATTCGGTGAGCAGAAATGCTTTCCCAAAAATTTATATAATTTTTTTTTCTTTCTTACAGTAGTTACAGATAACTTAATTAAGCTAAAAAGTATTATAAAGAGGAGAAATCTATAATTGTTTGAGCAAAAAATTAAGCCATGAGCTGAATATTTACATACCAGAGAATTTGTGGAAAAACTGAAAATGGGTAATATGGAGAGACCACAGCAATTCCTAACTGGTCAGAGTTCAGTGAATTAGGATAATTATACCCGGTCACAAAGGGCTTTCAGTGAGAGATAATGTGATACAAAACAACAGTAAATGTACCATCCTGCACCGTCTGTAGTCACACATTTTTGTATTCAATCACCAGATTTTGCTGTGTCAGTCTACTTACCATGATTTCACCATCAGGAGTGAGTGCCCACACAGCACACATGGACACACTGAAGCAGCAGAAGTCGTAGCAGTCTGGGATCATGGCTGCCTCTCCCCGAGGTTGGCGAAACACGTAGATATCTCCATTAGTTTGCTGAGCCCACACAAGCCCTGGTGTAATTCACATTATATAAAAAAAGGAATGTTGTGATCATACACAAAGTAGAGGCATTGTCTTTAACAGACACAGAAGAAACCACAAATTAAAAAAAATAAAAAAATATCCACAGCTTTTACATCACGAATGAAACAAAGTACCTTTAAATGTAAAAATAAAACTTCCTTCGAAAAAATTTCAAGACTTATTTTTCTTGGAGAATAAAAAAAATTCTTGGGATACCTGGCAGAAAAAGGGGAAAGATTTGGAAGTGCTATTATACATCTGAATTATATTATGAGTGTATAATGATAAACGTCACTATATTACCACTATACACCGAAATCTGGGTACACTCGAATTTTGGTCTCGTCAATTGGACGCCTTCTGGATTTAATGTCCGTTGTAGATTTGGTTGAATTTAGTAACATAAAAGAACACTTGTGTCCGCCCTCAAATTCTTTCAACTTCTGCTGAAATTCCTGCTTGAACATGATTATTGCGTTGACGACATTCGGTAGATCTAGTTGCCTGTGCTTCCTCGCAGCGTGAAACAGAAACAAGGCTTACGGCGAAGGCAGGATCGGAGAACAGAAAAAAGAACAAAACACGCATGCGTCATTCGGGTGTACTGTAGAGTTTGTTATTCTGCACCCAAAATTTGGGTGTAGAATAACACGTCGGAAAGATTTACACACTAAATAGGAAACAAATCAACTTCCAATGTTGTACATGATATAAAGGCCATAACTTTAGGATGGCAAAACCAAATGCAATACAGGTAATCAATTGGTGAGACTCTTAACTGTTGATTTCACCTCATTTTGTTTTACTTTAAGGCTTTTGATGTTATTATTTTACTGCTAGTTTATAGTTATCCTCACCTTTTATGGTTACCTACACAAAACTTTTTCTTTATTTTTTGGGGGGCAAAATATGTGAAACTTACCCCAGTCAACCTCAGCAACATTGGCACAGATCATTTTCCAGGTGGAAGAGGGAGACATCTGGGCAGGATGGGCTTCCAGCCAGTGGTAACCTGGAAAATATTGTTGACATGATGTGTTATAGAAGTCATGAAATAACGACAAAAAATGTGAGGCATCGTGGTGAAATCAAGCGCTCGTCAAAATAATGAAATTGAAGAAAAAAGCATTTTCCCGCCAGTTTGGTAATTTTTGTCAAATTTTTTGTTTTTGGCTCAACACCTTTTATGTTCATATGAAAACATATTTCCTTGTGAATTTTAAGGACTCTCAAGCTATTGAAGTTACCAAACTTTGTTGGCCATTTTCTCACTAATTTTACCACTGACCAGGCAACCCTACCTCCTTCAATAGCAAAAATCTCGACTTCTATTCAAGATAGACAGGTATGTCCTTGAAAGCAAGGTAGATGAATAGGCTTTTAGAGGATACCAATAACTCCACATGCCCAGAATTTGACGAGCGCCTGATTCCACCACGCCGTGACACAAATGGTGAAAACATCCTCTGTAGCTTGCCAAAATAACACAAAACCCCCAAAACAACATAATAATCTCAAATTATAAGGTTTTTACAATTCATTCAGAGACAGTAGTCAAACTCAAACATTGACAAAAAAACCAACCAAGCTCATTTAATTCATTGTCTCTGAGTGGAAGCAGCACTAGCCAGTCAGGTGGTCATGTTTCGCTGAGTGGCTGGTGCCACTGTCCGATAAGAATGTGATCATTTACTTGCAAATAAACACCAAAAATGACCAAGTACATTCAAAGTACGACTAGTATTCTAAGGATAGATGTTTAATTTTCTCCCATAGGGGTCTGTACAAATGGGTGTATTGATAGTTTGAATCGCGCATTGTTTTAGCTTGTGGATGTATGGCAACGTTGTTGATGCTCATCTGGTTGCACAAAAATGGCTGTAACGTTGCGAATAATACTTAAAAAAAAAAAAGAAAAGTGGCATGCACATTCAGAAGTGAATGTAGATTGAATAAATCACACCCCGAGTTCCTTAGTAATTCATATTTTCACTTTGTCGGCGATTTGCAAATTTGACATACTTTTTAAAAATTCTGTTTGTTTTCCGTCTGGTTGGTATTGTCACTATGAAGTACAATTTAATCGATAATTCAACAAAGAAGTTTAAACAATCTGATTTTCACATTCATTTCCTTTTCTAGGGAGGCATAAAACACTGATGTAGCTTAATTTGCTGATAATTATAACTCACCATGCAAGTGACCTCGTGCTCTGCTTTGACTGATGAAAATTAAATTCTGTCCCAGCCCAGAAAAAATCCCCCAAAAACGGAGACAAAATAGTTAATGACAGGAGGGGGGAATTAGACACTACTGAATGAGATAAACCATTATAATAACCATTGCTCAATCCAAGAACCATTCACATTACAAAAAAGACAAGCCTTTTCAGATACATCCATGTGAAATGAGCTCGCATGAAAGAAACCCGTCCATATCGTTCTTTAGAAAAGGTCATCTGTAAATTGTCCACACAGACCTTGAATGCTCCCTCGACAGACTTGCAGCACGTTGCGGAAGTCGAGCGCCAGCCAAACACCTTGCGTCCCAGCTGTGATGAGCCCACCTCGATTGGTACTGAGAATGTATGAGAGCTGCTTTGGGTCAAACTTGCGAGCCATTGCACGGATCATGTCCAAGGTGCTTGCCTCCTGCAAAATGTACTCACTCATTGGAACCTGAGGACAAACAGACAGACAAAAGCATATATGTACATTTGAACCTGCTCCAATGAACACCTGTCCAAGACAATTATCTGTACATGTAACCACTTTCCACTTCACCCCTTGATTTAAAAAAATTTATTCCAATGACACTGTCTACGAGGATCACATGTCTATGATAGCCATTTTTCTCTTGCCACTGGGTACAAATGACCATTTCTCACTCTCCCCTCCCCCTTGGATTTTCATCATACAGTATTGCATGAATAGCTCGAATTCGGCAGGACCAGCCTCGGTAGTTCAAGGGATCCGTAGTTCGACGGATATCTTCCAAAAGATACAGAAGAAAAAAAAAGTGAGCGCAGGCACAATTCGACGGATTCCTGATTTTGAGTCTTCTGTGTTCGACCTATCCGTGTTATACTATATGTGAGACAGCGTGGTGGAATCAGGCGCTGGTCAAAATAATCACATTGAAGAAACTTGCATTTTTCCGCAGGTTAGTGAATTTTTATAAAATTTTTGTTTTTTGGCTCAACACCTTTCACGCCCATTAAAGAACTCATTTCTGTGTGAACTTTTCTGAAAAACGTTAATTAAAGGCACAAAAAAAGTACATTTTCAGTTACCACGGACTCTTAAGCTAAGGAAATAACTAATCTTTGGCGGCCGTTTTCTTATTAATTTTACCTCTGAAAACAGGTGACCCCCACCTCCTTCTTTCGCAAATATCTCGACTTGTATTCAAGATAAATGGATGTTTTTTCATCCCAATAAAGACAAGTGAACAAGCTTTAAGATGATACCAATAACTCTACATGCCCAAAATTTGACGAGAGCCTGATTCCACCACGCTGCATCACATATAATAATGACACCGTCCAAACCATTCACCTGCACAAGACAACAACTTTTGTCCTCAACATCTTGGTGGCCATCTTGGATAATTTCAACTATATTTATATTTCTCTGAGAATTCATTTGTTTTTGAAATATAAGGGGATGGGGAGCATTGACAGAAAGAAAAGAGGGGTAAACATTAGTTATATCTGAGGACAATCTTACAATGCAAGCAAAATTTCAAAGCAGACAGAGAAATATTCTTTTTGGGAACAAGAACTTGGGTTATCTAGTCTGAAGTCAAGAACTGTACTAGCTCAGCTACTAGTCGGAAATACTTTTGGATGGATGAGAAGTTCGTATACCTGCAGGGAATCCGCCCCCCCCCCCCCCCCCCCAATTTTTTAAATTGGTATGACAGCAATACATTAAGACTACTTTTTAATTTCAGATGACGAAAAACAAAGAAAAAAATCAGCAGACTATGCTAATGGCAGCTACAAATATAACTCCCATATTGCAAAAATATCACAAAAGAAATACTAAAACAAAACAACATTTCACCCTTAATTTCCCTTCGCTTTTTCTTGGAAAACATTTCCCCCCAGAACAGAGAAAAAATTAAAGAAAAGAACAATAATTTCTCCTCTCACCTGCCACCACTGGCCAGCCCCTGCAGGATTCTGCCGGGTGACCCCATTACAGAACCAGATCTGTCCCAGTACATCGATAGCCCAGCCAATATTCTCACTGTCCACGGCTACGCTGGAGAACAAGTACGGAGCTGTCTCTCTGAGGGAAACATCAGTTTCGTTTTGCTCATGGCAGGACTTGAGGACAGCACAAAAAAGACTGTTTTGCTTGGTTTAGGCTGACATTTGACTTATAATATAATGCTATCGATATTTTTCCTTATTTAAACATTGCTATGCTATTTTAACAAAGCAAGAAAAGTGAACAAAGTAAGAAAAGTGAACACATTTCCCTTTGCCTTTTCTCTTCATTTACACATTCAGAAACATGTGTCGTGACACGGTAGACTAAGGCACTCGTCATAATAATAACAATCAAAGAAATCGACACTTTTTCCATCCATTGGGCAATATTTATCAAATTTTGGGGGGGGGGGGGCTCAACACCTTTTACGCCCATTTAAAAACACACTCATGCATGGATTTTACTGAAAAACTGATCAAAAGGCACAAAAAATGTACATTTGGAGTTTCTAAGGACACTACAGCTTTGGAAATCACCAAACTTTGGCCACCATTTTCTCCCTAATTTTACCCCTGACACCAGGTGACTCCCACCTTCTTCTATTGAAAATATCTCGACTTCTATTGAAGAGAAATGGGTTTTTTTTTCATCAAACGCATGGTAAAAGGACAGACTTTTAGATGATACCATTTAAACTTCATGTGCCCCAAAATTAACGAGTGCCTGATTTCACCATGCCATGATGCATTTCATCCCAATTGCACATAAATTAACAAGTAGTGGAATTTTTCAAATCAGCACAACGGCTATGTGCGTTTCGACACGGTGGAATCAGGCGTTTGTCAATTTTTGGGCTTTTGGAGTTATTGGTACTATCTGAAAACTGATTTATTTGCCTTGCTTAGAATGAAACAAATATCCACCTATCTTGAATAGAACTCGAGATATTTTCTCGAATGAAGGAAGTGAGGTCACCTGGTTTCAGTGGGGAAATTAGCGAGAAAATGGCCGCCAAAGTTTGGTTACTCCAATAGCTAAAAAGTCCTTGAAAACAGAAAAATGACATTTTTGTGCCTTTAGTCAACGTTTTTCAGTAAAATTCACATTCAAATGTGTTTTCATAGGGACATAAAAGTGGTAGAGCCAAAAATAAAAATTTCCAAAATGGCAGAAAAATATGTTTCTCCGATTTCTGTATTTTGACGAGCGCCTGATTTCACCACACTGCCTCACATATATCTTTCTCCTGCCTGCATCCACCTGCACTTCAAGTCTACAATTGAAGCTGTCAGAAACAACTTTCCGCATTCATATCTCCAGAGGTAGGCCTACTTGTTAAGGTGGTAAGACTCCTGAGACCGCCAGCGTTGAATAAACCCAGAGTTCAATGGTTAGGCTCTTTATGATAACACCAGGAAGTGAGTTTGATTTCCGTGAGACAGCCCCCTAAACTGAGTTAATGGCGATATGTATACATTTGCAATTGTCATTTTTGCCGAGGACAGAAAAACGGTGAAATGTTGTAGGTTTAACGCCCCTATCAACACCATTATGAGGCAGGACCTCAGAGTGAAACGTCTATCTCTGAAAGGACGGAACCAAATGGGAAATCTGTGAAAAGTGCCTTTCCTAAGGACACAACGTCGGACCGAGCTGGGAGCTGAGGCTTGAACCCCCGTCCCCGCAATCTCACGATTACGGGTCCTGTGGCCTAACTACAATGCTACCGATGCCATCCATCATGGACCAAGATGAACAAGAGAAGTAATCTCATTGCTGCACTATTTATAAGAAGGAAAAGGATACTGATGCTTTAAGTTAGAAATAACCCTTATTAGTGCATAAATACGTGTCACAACACAGTGGAATCAGGCACTTGTCAATTTTTGGCATATGAGTTACTGGTATCATATGAAAGCTGATTCAAATTTGCTTGCTTTCTATAAAAAAAACAACCACACATCTATTTTGAATAGAGGGCAAGATATTTGCGATTGAAAGAGGTGAGGGTAGCCTGGTCTCAGAGGTAAAATTAGCAAGAAAATGGCTACAAAGGTAACTCCGATAGCCTGAAAGTTCTTGAAAACTGAATATTTAGTGACATTAATCAACATTTTTCAGTAATATTCACATGGGAATGTGTTTTTATGTGGAAATAAAAGGAGCAGAGCCAAAAAACAAAAATACGATAAAAATGTGTTTTTTAATTATATGTTTTTGACGAGCGCCTGATTTTACCACGATGCCTCACATAATAATATATAAAAGTGGTACAGTCAAAATACAAGAATACTGTTTTACCTAAAGTCAAGAAGCCAGTCACTTCCCTCAGGCAGCTCATCAGAGACACCTGTCCTCACCAGCAGGCGTAGGCCTTCGGTAATGGCCCAGACAACTCCGTTCGCACACTGGATAGAGCGCAGCTTGTGCTCACACTGAATGTTTCTCGACTTGTAGCATGGTCGCTCCAGGGAAAGATTTCTTTGCATCATCACCTCACCGCTACGCTTAATATACCTAGTGACGAAAGCAGCAAAGCTTCTGAACAAACCATTGTTTAAATAGTTCTTTCACATGATGTATGTTGACAAAATAATTCTTATTTTATGATCTTTAAAGCTAATAACACTTTAATTGCTGTTCAATATTTACACCTTTAAAAGCCGTTTCAAACAAATTCGCACTCGTCTTAAAAATGATACGTGTTAATTACTCTAGGGCAGTGGTGTTCAACCCATGGCCTGCGGAAATAACTGTCTTACTGATGTTCTGTGACTGGCTATGGAGGGTTCTCAGAGAGAAAGGGTAAAAAGTATAAAACAACAATTCAACACCATAGGCTTCGAGTTGTCTCCTGGGCCCAAGAATAAGCAAGTAGTCTATCTGAAGCTTCCTCACACGTGCAAAAGGGTAAATTTATCCCTATGCAGAGGATTTTTAACCCTATTCGTACGCCCCGGGGTCATTTTGTATCCCCGGGGTTGTATTCTTCACATTTTAGAATACTTCTTGTGCAAAGATCTCTTTGAAACTTTCAGTATTTCTCAAAAAATCATTTTGCCAGACTGCTATACAAAGCATACGGATCGGATTAACGAGTAAATTTCCTCTTTGGAAAGTGGTGGCACAGAGTTCCCCCACATCGTATGGATACGATAGTAAAACACGATGTACGGATAGGGTTAACCATGAAAAGTATTTTAAAATCAAAGAGCACAAGTATAAAACTGATTTCCAGTGTATGACCACAAGTTTAGAAAAATTAGGCAAAAAAATGCACTGCTCACCATGCACAGTTGTCGTCGACTGAAATCCATTCCACATCCCGCACCGCCTCAACCCACTTCAACCCCTCGGGGTGACGGCTGCTGATCTTTGTGCCTGCAAAGACCACCCCTCGGTGCAACCGCCACACGATGTGACCCGAGGGGGACACTGCAATCTGATTGGCCGAACCTGAAGCCTTCCTCCACACGATACCTTTAGGACTGCCAACGGAGGAGTAGTAAATATTCTCGCTTTTGTCCGTAAACCACACATGGCTTTGAGATACAGCCAGGCTGTACATATTGGTCGGCGTGGTGAATTCAGACCATGAGTTAGCTACACGGCGTTGACAAACATCTTGCATCTCAGATGACCGCTCCACTTCGGTAGAGAGTAATGACTTAGAGGCTTGAGCAGCACCAGGGGTGTTAGCATCTGGTGAGGTCATGTAGGATGAAGACTCAGGAGACGTGTCAATAAATTTTGAATAGAAGTCATCGGCAGACTTCTCTCTTGGCATCCCTTTGTTAAACGGATCCTCAGCTTCTATTGCACTGACAGAGCTGTAAATGTCTTGGAAAGAATCAGATTGTTCAAATACTCTTTGCACCTTTGTAAGTTTCTTTTGTTCAGGTGCATCAGAAGAATGACCCGTTGCATACATTGACAGGCTGGAATCAGGAGTTCTCACTTCAGCCTTTCGCGAGTCCAGTTGAACAAGAGCAGAATTTATGATGTCGAAGGAGGAATCACGAATCAGTCTATTCTTAGGACTTATGTCTGAGGAGTATGTGTAAATATCAGCTACCTCAGAGCCATCACCGTCGCAGGAGGCAGAAGTACTAGCACATGGAATCTGCAATGGAATTTCTGTACTATTCTTACCTTTCTCTGACTCTTGAGTCTTCTGGCCATCACTTTGACCTGTTGCTCTCAGCATCAGGCTTTGATCCGACTCTGTCAAAGATCTGTCCATATTCATGTCAGCCTGAAGTAACTCTGTACCTTCTCTATCACGAGTACCATCCTTGTTTGAACTCACCACAGATTTTATATCTGCACTACTGTCAGTGTCAACCAATTCACTTTTGAATACAGACTCAGACTTATCGCTGGACATCATACAGGAAAATCCTCTGCCCTTCTCTCCAGATGCTGCCAAATCATCCTTCTTACTTCCAAAAATGCCTACTTCAGCTTGATTCAAATCCAAATTATTGGGTTTATCCTTCCTTTGGTCCTTCAAGCCTGATCCACTATTCACTTTCGAATAACTGTTAATTACATGGTCACTTCTCTGTGTGGCAGTCACAACATTGTCATTGAGTGTATCCTCAGAGCACTCAGACTCTTTCTTCCCTGTTGAATCCACAGATTCTTCTTTCAGAATGGTGTCCACCAACTTCAGCATCTCATCCGCACGTTTCAGAGCCTCTAGAGACGAACTGTTGCTGGTCTGGGAATCGTATGCTTTGGCGGCTGTCAAGCCAGAATCATCCGAATGTTGACTGTTAACAGAAGTCTGACTCACTGCATCTTCATCTTTCTGACGAGTGTTGGACGTTCCTACAGAGGACAAAAAACAACCTGATGTAACAAAACACACAAATCCCAAGCATCTCTAGCAAAAAAGAGGTAAAACTTTAAGAGGCAAAAAAAGACGAACCCCAACGCCTTTGTTTTCTCTACACCACCTGTCTCCTTTCTGTTTTTAAAACAGGATGACTTTGATCTCACTCTAAGGAAAAAAAACAAAAAACATTTGTATATATTGTTGATAAGGATTTAGTCCACAAGGGCTCAGAAAGCATGAAAACAACACTGCAAACACAGAAAAGAAAAGGAAAACCTAACAGCAACAGTATGGGGAGAAGATCAAAAGCAGTCTCTTGAAAAATTTTTTTTAAAAAATGGAGACTTACACAATTCTACCGGCAAGAGAACACAAAAGAACGACATGTAGCTGAAAGTACTGTGTTACTTGTTTTAGTCTTTACAACTCATCATCATCATCTGGTGCCCTGCCGACTGGCGTGGGCGATCATGGACCTCCACTTCACTCTGTCTTGCATTGCAGCAATTTTGTCTGTTGTTTTTGCTGCTCCCAGCCATGTTGTCATCTTGTCCAGTATCTTTTCCCTCTGTCTGCCTCTGCCTTTCTTTCCATCAAACTTGCCTGTTGTTACAATATTCTCCAATGCTTCTTTCCGCATTGTGTGTCTGAAGAAATGTTCCTGTCGTTTTCGTATATTCATCACAAGCTGTCTTCTGCAATTTGCTTCAACCAAGACTTCTTCATTTGTTTTTCTAGCTGTCCATGGGATAGGCAGCATGCGTCTTGTGAACCACAACTCTGTCGCCACAATTGTTCTTTCCAGCTGTTTATTGATTGTCCATGCTTCGTACCCGTATGATAAGATTGGCTCGATGTAACTTTTCAGTACTCTTTTTCTCGTTTCCAGTGACAGATTGATGTTTGTGAGTATCTGTTTCATTTTGTGGAAGGTTGCTTTTGCTTGGCAAATGTGGCTTTTAATTTAGGTGTGACATCTCCCATCTGATGATATAATGGTCCCCAAGTATTTAATATGTTGTACTTGCTTGAGGGTGGTATCATTGATTTTGATATTGCATGTTAGGGTTAGAGTTTTTCTGCTTATCACCATTGTTTCGGTTTTCTTGATGTTTAGGCTTAAGTCCATGTTGTCAATCTCTTGTACGATGACATTTAATTGATTCTGTAAGCATTCTTCATCTTCTGCTATTAGGACTGTGTCGTCTGCATATCTTAGATTGTTTATATTATGTCCCCCTATCGAGATACCTGGCATTTCTTCTATGTGTCTCATGATATTTTCACTATACAGGGAAAACAAGCCTGGAGAAAGTACACATCCCTGTCTGACTCCTCTTTTAATCTGTATGTATTCGTTGATGTCGTTTTCTATTCTCATTGCAGCAGTTTGATCCCAGTACGTGTTCTTAATAATCCTTAAGTCCTTCCTGTCAATATTGAGGACTTCCAGCATGTCGATGATCTTGTCGTGCCTAACTTTGTCGAATGCCCTGGTGTGGTCTATAAAACATAAACGAAGATCTTTCTGAACTTCTCGGGCACGTTCTATTGTTGTTCTGGTGACATATATGGCATTTACAGTGCCTTTGCCTTCAATAAATCCACACTGTTCTTGGGCTATTTCTGGGAGAATTTTATTTGGTAGTCTCATCATAATTATTCTGGGTTATATTTTTGTTATGTGGCTCATGAGGCTGATGGTATGATCAGTTTCACATTAATTTGCAATAGATTTCTTGGGTAAAGCTATGAAGATAGATTTTGACAAGTCTGATGGAATAGGTCCAGTGTCATACATGCTGTTAAGAAGTATTGTGAGTGTGGTGATTCCAAAGTCCTCTATAGCTTTAATCATCTCTGTGGTAATGTTGTCAAGTCCTGCAGCTTTCCCATTCCTCATCTTTCGTAGTGCCTTGATAATGATTGGTGGGCCCTCATTGTTATTTTCCGCTCTTCTTTGTTCATCTCTTTTTATTGAACAGGTCACCGATATATTCTGTCCAACGTTCCAGTATCTTATCTTTATCCAGGATGATATTCCCATCCTTTGATTTGAGGTATTTTGTTGAGCCACGTGTTCTTGCATGGCACACATCTTTAATTTTTCTATGCAGATCTTTGGAGTTAACCCCTTTACAATTACTGATATGGAATTCCAATACAAATAGGTACTAGAAACTAAAAGTTCAAAGTAGCTGTATGCCAAATTTATCTGTTCCATATGAAAGGCCTATATCTCCTGAGAATTTCGGTACCACTCTTTAACCTCTCAGATAATCTTTGAGAAAATGGTAGCTGTTTAAAATTTGATCAAATTTGTTAAAGTAGCTCACTGGCAGCAACCTCATGTTTGACATAATAAAAGAGTACCAAGTGCACCAAACATCTCCACATTAACAGACTACAATGACCATAACATAGATATGGAGCCTAATTTTTTTCAATACTGTAAGATCATTACAAATCAGTATTTTATCGCCTCAAGCAAAAACACAGAGCGTTGACTCGCTCGGCGCCGCACTGGCCCCCGCGGTGAGCGAGTCGGCTCCATACTGTAGTGTACCGAGTGCTCCCCGTGTGGGGGGTCACTTGCTTTCCGAGTTTTCCGGAACGATTGAGAAAAAAAATAATTCCAGGCAGATTACTTTATTCTAATAGAAAATGAACTGATCTTTCTATTGGTACCTTTTTTGAGCAGATATTTTACATATTTCGTGTAAAAAATGATCTTCGAAAACTTTGACGGTATTTTTAAAAGCTTTCTATTTAAATGCCAAAGGCAAAAAAAACACAACAGGAAAGTCGGTCGAAAGCTCTACAGTTCTCCGTCAATAAAAACACGGTATTTAATCATTAATCTTTCCCTGAAGCATTTGAATGCACGCGTTTCAATTTTTGAACCGGCCAACCACGCATTCCGACTACAAGGGGCTTTTTTTCCACAACGATTCTCCAGCTCCTAATAATCGGACAAATAAAATAAACAACTTACACCATTGTAACGAGGAAAAGCTGAGCTTTTTACAAGGTGTACAGCATTTGGTGTTTTACAACGAAAGAGCAAAGAAACAGCAGTCTAAATTATCCCGATTTCACCGATACCACGCCCTTGGAAGGCCGCGAGTGCCCGCGAGGCCGTGTTTACGCTACCTCATACAAACCTCCTTTGTGCTTTTTCTTTTTTGGCTTTTTCATCCTGTGGCTGAAAACTATGTCGTCCTGGTTGGAGGTTGAAGGGACCGCAGTCTCTGGAGCGGAGGACGCTACCGAAGTCTCTGAGTGCTGGGAGGATGTACGAGAATCTGAAACAGACAGGGATGTGTCTTAAAAGAGACTGGCGACACTTGACCTAAGTGTATTAGAAGTACCCTTGATTGTTTAATGAAAGATATCACCCAAGGCCACATACCCATTACCACTTCGTAAACCTAGAATTACAAAGTTCTATCTGCTCAGTACTATTGAAAATTGGGAGTTTCACAAGTTAAGCTTTTTCGCAATTCTCTGAATAATAATATCTTGATAACGACTCTGAATAATCTTATGATTTTGATAGAGCAGATAGAAGATTTGGTTTCGGACCTTATGGTCTTAATAACTCAAAACGGTAAAAAATGTCAGAGAAAACTTTGTAATTCTAAGGTAGCAATTTGCTTGCCAGCTGACAACATGTTGAAAAGTGAGCATTTGGCTTCGGGCAATCCAGGCATAAGGCTATGTCTGTCCAGAGGATGTGTCTTTATTTGCTAGCAGAAGGACTACGTTTTGTCATTACACTGACAGATACAATGTGCCTGGGATACAAGTTCAAATTTACCTACAACCGAAAAATAGACAGGGATTTTATGTAGGAATTCAGTGTTCATATTCCGTAATATTATCACTACTGAGTTTTGACAGAGCAACCAGAATTTATTTTTCTAGCTCGAATATATATCACCAGTACTTATAGCAAAGATAGATAGTACACCCTATGATAAGATGCTGCAGCTGCCTCTTTCCCTCTCTTAAAAAAACTTGCCAGCGTAAAATAGGCCACGCCCCCAGCGAGCGTGTGACTGAGCCCCGATGGCTTGGCCTAGGGCTTGTTGGGTAGAGTATGAGAGCGTTTAATCCTACTCTAGGGCCCATTCTAATTTATTTCTAAATAATTACGTAGATCTATCTACTAAACTAAAGTATTGATCAACGTATTCCGATAATTTATAAAGATCTCAATTGCTTTAAAAGAAGAACATAAGGTTTAAAAATAGTCTCACTTCGATAACGAGTGATAAGATCAGAGGATAGTGTTCCGGTACCGGGTGCATAGGCTCAAGATCTACTAAATCCAGATCTAGGCCTAGGCATTGACTATCGTGAAATCTAGGCCTAGAATCTATCCAATGCAATATTATTGATAGCATTGATGAGATAGTATTGATGACAGGATCTCTAGAAGTATGCATTATTAGAAAATAAAAGATAGTGTCAATTAGTATTAGATACACCAAGGAACCAGAGAGAGAGAGAGAGAGAGAGAGAGAGAGAGAGAGAGAGAGAGAGAGAGAATACAACGAATACAACATAGAAGTATGTCTTATTAACTTGATATAACAAACTAACCAATTTTTCTTTTGTCAGTCTACGCTCATCTAGCCCTGACAATGGGGTGAAAGTTTACGACACACTTTCCCTAGTGACACAGTCACCTATGAACTCATTGAAACTTTGTTCGGTGCTTTCAATTTTCCTTGGCTTCACAGCCGAACCCAGCTCATCTATAGATTGAATAATATAATACGCTTGAGGGCTGTGTGTGCCCCTGAGATTTAAGTGTTATAAATCAAGTCGAGCAACTGTTAAGGAAACTTTTTCATCAGATGAAAATTAGAAAAAATTGTGTGCGTGCATACATGTGTGAATGAGTATGGGTGGTGAGACAGAATAGAATTGAATTTGACTTTATTGACTTTCGAGGCAAATGGCCCATACGTCATAAAAAGTTACAAATTAAATGCAAAATACTGACCTCTCTGTGTTGTGCTAAAGGACAAATTACATAATAATGTACACCACAGAAAACATATATATAGACCTATATAACATATACATCAAGAATCTAAATCTACACCTAAAGGAATGGGCCCACACACAACAAAGTACAGGGCACAAAGCATTGGTCATAGTCATGGATGCGTGATGTAGATAGTAAACAAAGCTTACATGCTGGAATCTGATCTCTCTAGTTTAGCTCTAATCTAGACTCTAGAGATTAAACAATTAATTTCACATTGTCTTTCCCTTTTTCGTCCTTTGGGAATCTGAAGAAAGACAGTGGGTTGGTTTTTCCTCTGGAATTAGAACAGCCCATCGCAGAACATAACAGGCCAGTAGGTCGACAGGATGAAAGTTGCGTTTCACTCGCCGTGTTTACACACAGTCGCACGCTCGCCGCTGGTGGCGCTGAGGGTCGTTGTGCCTCACAAATCTGGGCCAGTGCAACATCTTACCGTAGGGTGTACTATCTTTGCTTATAGTCTTCTATTATCATTATCCATCAAATGCAACAACTAAATATTTATTTTCACCAATCAAAAGTAGATTTGAGAGGGGGATGGAAGCATTGTGGCCCCAAATTGGAACAAAAATATGAGCTGCAGATTGACTTACTTTTGATGAGAAGTCCAACAAAGAATTTTTTTATCTTTCTACACATATCGATATCTTTCTTTTCACACCACACAATAGAGGACGCAACTGTTGTGAATTTCTAACCCTTTGTTATCAATGTTCAAACAAACAAAAATCCAGGAGCACCTGTCGAAGTGATGTGCTTTATTCAATGACACGACACATAAACAACAGTAAAAAATTATGTACCTGTACTTTGGCTCGCAGAATTTGGGTCAAAGGCTTTGGGATCTGTTGCAGTATTTGAGACAACAGCCAGAGCGGATGTGGCTGACATCAGAGACGATAAAGCTGACGGTGCATCATCTTCCTCTGTGGTGGCCTTGACCTCATTCTCTGCTGAGCCCGATATGGATAGTGCAGTGGCAGTGGGCACCGCTCCGGCCTCGGATGGCAAGGTGCCGGTGAAAACTCGGATGCCTTCTAGTTCAGAAGATGCAAGAGTCACAACAGGAGGTAAGTCAGGGGATACAGCTTCTCTGAAAGAGAAAAGTAGTGTGGACAGTTAGTTCTTTCTGGAAACCAATTTTAAACTGACTCCTTCATACACAAAGAGAACACAAATGTAAAAAAATAATTTTTTAAATATACATACTTTTACTAGAGGGAAAGGTGACCACACCAAGAGCAGAAAGAAGCAATGAGTAACTTATTAAATAAGAAAAAAATAAACTAATGTTATAACAGCCAATGCGCAAAATAATGGCCACCAAAATATGTAGACAGATTAGGTCCAGCACACATTGCAAGTAAAATCATAACATAATTGGACATAACCTTTTGTTAAAAAAACCCAATATATGTGTCATCAGTGTTACAAGAAACTAAGTAACTCCCTTTGACCCCAGAACCACTCACTGTTCGTGTGACAGTGACAACATCATATAATCTCTCTACTCAAATGATCTACTCACATGACAGGTTTTGGTATAGCTTCCTTGACCTCCTCTGTTTTATCATCACTGAGCAGATCATCAAGTCTTTTGATAGGGTTAGTAAAGGTCTTACGGAAGAAACTCTTTGCAATGTTTTCTTTCTTCTCTGTTTGCCCACTTCTCTCATTAACTGCTGGTTCATGCAAGGTAGAGTGAGGAGCTCTCAAAATTTCAGCTGCACAGAGAAAAAAAAATTAGATAAGTGTTCTCATAGTGCTGTAGATATTAAATAGGCTACAGCTCATGTGGGATGCACACGGAATGCAGAAGAGTGAAAGAATAGGTAACATTAATATGACATGGCATGTCATCCACATCTCAAACTTTACTCTTTTTCAAACATTAGCTACTACTGTGATCAAAAGTTAAAAACCACCAGAACATATTTTGCTAGTAACAACCATTTCCCAGTCAGTAACCATGCAAAATTAAGGGAGGAGAAGTATTATATAAGTATACACTTGTCACACAAAAGCCCCACAAATGCCAATAGCAAAAATGTGCATTACAAACAGATCATTGCATAACATATAAGGAAATGAAGTGTATCACAAGTGGCATGTCAAAAGCATTGTCAACTCATAAACAGACAAAGAAATATTTTCGAAAAAAAGCTAAGAAAAATTGACATCTGCACTGAAATTAGACATCTTTAAAACAATTTTTTTAATTTCACGATTAGTGATGTTAAAAACCTTTTGACAAGTCAGTCAATCATTTATACAACATATTAATCTAAATCTACTGGAGTTACGTAAAGGCAGTAAATATGACAAGTAGCTCTGCTATTTCATCTCTACATATTGTATTTGTGAAAGTTTGTCACTTTGGCTGCCTAAAACTTCCGACCCATTTAACTTTCAAATTTGACAAAATTAATGGTGGTTCAGAATCATTTAAAGGGTGCATAGTCTTATTGAGGAGCCTGAAGTTACTGTCGTTTAATTTTCAGTTTTTCATTAGTTTCGTTTAGATCTAATCTTGGGAAAGTCCGTATTCTAAGACGCCATTGTAAACAAGTGAGGTTTCCGTTCACTAGCCATGGGCACTGATTCCACACCTTTGAAATTCTGGAGTGTACAAACACGACAACGGAATAGAGAATCAATCTATATATCTATTATATATTTGGCAACTTGGAAACACATGCGTCACCTTTCCCATAAGACTACGACAACTACAGAGTTGAAAGTTGGCAAGTACCTGCAGAAAGATACATAAGTCCCCACGATGGCGTTCGATTTTTTATTTATTCATTTCCCGAATTTAGAGAAATATATTTGACAAAAAGCTCCCGTCCTTCTTTGGCCTTTGTGATTATTCCACTGAGAAACAAAACAAATCTGCGTCGAGCTGTCCTTCTCATCGCAAGTGCCAGAAGTGATATTTCGCGAGGTGCATTTTGTTTTGAGAGTATAGATCTAGACCTTCTAATTTTTTGCGTTTCTTAAGATTTATTGCTCCATTTCACTACAGTGTTAAATGTAGAAGGCCAATGACTTTCAGTTTATATTAATGCACTAATCATTCCTTTCATCGAAAGGGGGCCCAGCTAGTAACAAATAAATGTAATGCTGTCCATTGGACTATATCAAAAGCGACTGCCATTAATTGAGAAAATTTAACCAACCTTTTGCAGCTGAGCTATCTGGTCCATCTGAGATTCTTATGACTCTCGCTTCAGCATGCCTCCGCAACAAAAAGATTTCGTTGTCCACGACGGCCACACCCTCAATCCCGCTTAACCGACTCTGACGAGCCACCACACGATTGTCCCAGGGGTCAAGGACAACTAGAGCTGAGCCAGACCACGAGACCAGCTCCCTATCACGGAACCGTTTCAAGAGTCCGAGCTGGAAGTCTGATGGACTCATATAAAGTTTGCCGGCCATAAGCAGTGGGATTTCCTTCACAGCAGGTGACAGTGGGTCAGAAAAGACGTGAGTGCTCTTCACAGTTCCTTGTATGTCAGACAACCAGAGACGACAGCCTGGACGGGCTGCGAAGAGCTTGGCATCGTCCGTTTTGCACATGCCCGGGATGAAGCAAGCGCCGAATGACCCCGTCCTACCGGGAACAAAAAGTAATTAATGCAAGGACATTAGAGGGAGAAATGTTTGCTGTAGGAATAACAGAGAAAGTAACAGCTGACTTTGGGTGTGATTTAACACTGCTATAAACACTGTAAGTTCATTTAAGAGACAAAATATATTATTAGAAGATTGCTGTACCACCTGGAAACAACTCAAAATGTGTTACAACATGATGGAATCAGGCACTCATAAATTTATGGGCATATGAATTATTGGTATTATCTTAAATTTTATTCATTTGCCTTACTTTAAATTTTAAAAAGATACTAAACAATCTTGAATGGAAGTCGAGATATTTGCGAATGAAAGAGGCGGAGGCCACCTTATTTCACTGAAAAATTAGTGAGAAAATGGCCGTCAAAGTTTGGTGACTTTCAAAGCTTGTGTGTACTTGGAAACTGAAAATTTACATGTTTTAGAGCCTTTTATCAATGTTGTTCAGAAAAATCCACTCGAAATGTGTTTTTAAATGGACATTAAAGGGGTTGAGGTCCAAAAAAAATCGATAATAGGTGGAAAAATATAGTTCTTGTATTTCATTATTTTGACAAGCGTCCAAGTTTACCATGATGCTACACAAATATAGAAGTTTGAAAAAAGTAAAGTCTCGCCAACAAAAACAGAGGAGCACATCAAACTGAAAATCTGTGTTGCAGGGACGAAAATGATTTTAAAATATTAATCCCTATGTACAGTTTATATACATGTGACCACATTTAAGTTTCATCCATGAATGGAGGTATGACAGACTTCTGAATCTGTAATTTTGTTCTCTATGGTATTTTCAATACTGTTTTTATACAATCTCCACAGTTGTCGATTATGATGATGACCTCAAGGAATTTATGGATATTAATTTCACAAATGTAGGCCTACTCCTTTTAAGGAAAAATCTAAGGATATTTGAAATAAAGAAGAACTTCTCACTTTTATAAACCTTAGTTTATCTAAAACTTATTAATCATCTTTCTGAAGACAGGATCGTTGACAAGGAATATGATGTCTCTCAATAATACTATTCTTAAGGATATGACACAGTCTAATATTATGAGAAAAATATGTTCTTCAATCCCAAAGCACCCTAAAATACAAACCTGTAAACAAAATAAAGCTTACCTCGTAATAGTCCCTTTGTCCTGGGTCAATACAAGATTTTGATCATTTCAATTAATACAGTTTTAAAAAATGACAGAAGTTCAATTATCATTTATGTCATGTAACCTTGTGACAAATTTGAATTTTATAACATGTGGCAATTTTTCCCAAAAGTTTCTCCAAAAGACGAAAAAAGACCCAACCCCAACCACTATGCAAGTAGTTCCAAAACTTATAAATGAGATCTCCATTACAAAAATGCACTCAGTAACATGAAAAGCAAGACATCAATTTATTGGACTAGGTTTCTTATTCATACTCACATTTTACGCTCTTTAACACCAATACTGACAACCTGACATTGAAGGTCAAGTCGCACCACAAAACTGCGCTGCTTTGTTGAGACAAGTAGTGCTTTATGAAGATAGTCGATCTGAACAATTTCTGTAGTTGCTTCAATCAGGAGTACACTGGACTTGCATTGACCCTGAACAAAAATATAACAAAACATCAACAACGTATATGACAGTCTGTCATAAAATGGATATATATGAAAAACCATATATTTAAAAAACAAAAAACAACAACAAACAAAAAACAACCTAATACTGCTCCCTACTATTTTCCAGCCCCATACACACAGATAACCATGTCAAACTTAAGTACTATGTCCTATTTTCAGTCATAACAAAATTCACTAATTTACACCCAGATTAGGATTATGAAATAGGTAGTGTTGAAGCTCACTTCATAGAAGTCCACCTCTGTGGTAATGACTTGGCCTCGCTTGTCTCCAGTGTACAGCTTCATGCCATTGGTGCTCCACTCCACACAGGTCACGTAGTGCTGATGGAAACCCTTTACATCAAACTTTTGCACCTACAGTTTAGAAAAAAAGGACGAGAAAGGGAAGATTCGAAAGTGAATAGAAAAAGTACTTGAGTGATAGGATAGTTTTCAGAACATTAATAGGAAAGCCATGTTTTCCCTCGAGCATGACTAGAAAGTTTGAAACAGAAAAAAACAGCACGATTAGATTTCCCAGGAACAGATGGAAGCAAAGACCACAATTTTAAACAGCCTATCAGAGTCTGCTGGATTGAGGATCTACCCCACAAAATCAAAAGTTCTCAGGATAGATGCACCACGAAAGAAGCAGGTCACAGTAGAGGGAAATGCAGTAGAAGACATAGAATCCTTCTGCTATCTTGGGAGTATAATTAACAGAGAGGGAGGAACAGGGCGCTGAAATTAAGTCCCATATTGGAAATTCACAGATTGAGTTTATTTTTATGATCAGGATTTGAAGGACCAGGGAGATCTCACTACGAACAAAGCTGAGGATTTTTCAACTCAGATGTGAAGTCAGTCCTGTTGTATGGATGTCAGACATGGAACGCATCTCAGACGTGCATAAAGAGGATCCAGGTTTTCTTGAACTAGTGTCTGAGGAAGCTATTGAGGATCAAAGGGACAGACAAGATCACCAACGAGGAAGTATTAAGAACAACGAGACAGAGTCCAGTCAGAGTTGAGGTGGGAAGAAGGCGTTGGTGATGGATTGGACACACTTTCAGGAAGTCAAGCAGCTGAATAAAAAGACAAGTGTTAGATTGGAATCCACAGGGTAAAACACCAAGGGGAAGACCATGCAGAACCTGGAGAAGAGTCACGGAAATGGACGTACAGAAAAGTGGGAACACATGGAGTGACATCAAGTGACTCGCCCATGATAGGGAAAGGTGGAAAGTGTTTGTTCGTGGCCAATATCCTGAAAAAGGCAATGATGATGATGTGATGATCCATGAACTATCCTGAGATCGTACATCTTTTAAGATGTGCAGGAGACTTCCACCTTGTAAAGGTCAAGACAAAAGTACCAGTGGATATAAAGTATGTCTCTAACAAAAAGGCAAATCTGATACTCCAAGGATCACCAAACAAACAACGCAGGCCGGGCCATTATAAAACTAAAGAATGATAAGAGTAAATGAAGGCAAGTGCATATATGAGAGTTAAAGAGTTTGAAAGTGTCTATTTCCATACATATGAAAGTACAATCATGAGTGCATATATGTAAAAATGCTCAAAAAGAAATGAACACATTCTAGGCTTGATTGAGGCTTTGCAAGAATGACGTCTTGAGTGCCAAGCAACAACAAAAAAAAAAGAAAAAAATTGCAGGCCTTTCCAACCATTAATTATATTACATATATAAAAACCTTAAGCTCAATAAAAATGGCAAGACAAACCTGTCTCTTCTGCACTGATGCAGTCCCTGGTATACAAAACACAGTGATGTCCCCAGAGGCAGTACCAATTGCCAGTAGCAGATCAATCCCTTCATGCAACTTGATACTTGTAATAACATCATTCGCACCCTGAAATGACAACAACAAAAAAACCCAGATTGAATAAATAATTAATGACTCCACCTGGATCAAAATACAAAAGTGCTGACCGTACACTGACATTCCATAACATTTCTTCTGTAAACAGAAGATTAAAACTTTTAACAATAATAAAAACTATACATATGAAGCTTTCCTTCTTACCTTTTCTTTGTCCCCAGCACTCTTTCCATTTATGAGAACAATTAGTGAGTAAAAAAAGTTGGACTTTTGAGGCTTCTAGTTGGAAGATCATAATATGCCTTTCAAGCACGTTGATAGATACAGCACACACCAAAAATGTGAAACGAAACAAGGAGAGGAACTTAATACAGACAGAAAAATCAAGAATGGTTTGCAAGTAAGGAGTGGACTCATTAGATGCTAAAACAGCCACTGTAACTGTAAAAGTATCCAATTTCCACTCATAGTTCTAGGCTGCACTTATTGAGTCTGCTATTAGAGTAAAGGCACATTTGCGCCATTTCTCACTTAAAGCCAAATGAATAAGAGAAAACAAAAAAATTTTTGACCTGCAAACTTGCACATCATCAGGCCAATAGATGTATAATGGTCTTGAGCATTCTCGGCTATATTGCCAAGAGGGATGTTCATTCTAATATACCATATGAGGGAACCAGTTTGCAATCAGGGCACCTTTATGCGGTCATGGAGGACACATTATGCCGCCAGGGAACTGTGATGCAATCACATGGGGATATGTATGCGGCCAGGACCTCTCAACCTGATTTTATTGTGTACTATGTGGGGGGGGGGGGGGGGGGTTAAGTTTAAGAAACCTTGCCAGCGCAGTGGCCTCGTGGTTGACGGACTTTGGCCAAAAGGTTTGAATCCTGACAATATGATACTTTTGAGCTTCGACTTTTTATTGATGTCCGTAACCCCCCCCCCCGGCGTCCTCTTGAGAGATCAAGTGATTCGCCTTCGAAATGACCATCTGTGTACAGCAGGGTGTCATAAAATAACCAACATGGGTCACTGTAGCGTAGTGGTAAGACACACGCTTCATATGTCGAAGGTCCCAGGTTCGAGTCTCGTTGGGCCAACATTTTTTCGGAGTTTTATGACCTTCCTGTGTCAAAAGAGGCTACTAACTCAGTACTCGGTAAAGTAAGTAACAAACAAAGAAGTCTTGGGAGAAGTAGGTGAAATTAGTGAGAACGAGAATAAGAGGCTTAATGATGATTGGCTCTTGTTACACTGACGACAATGAACAACTTTGACAGACTTAAAAAAACAATGAATAGGCCTACGTAAACACTGCCAGGAACTTTGACAGACACCTTCAAAAACGACCAGAGTGTAAGTTTAAAAAAAATAAACAATTCTTCTCCACCCCCCCCCCCCCCCGCCGCCAATCCGGAGTCCTATACTCCACAACACTCATACTTTGAATGAACTTTGGTGACCCCAGCAACCTCAGTATATGGTGACATATTATGCGAACGCGCGCAGGTTCACTGACCGGTCACGTTGGTGAGCCCGACAAGCTGAAAATCAGACGATGTTTCGTTTTCTTTCCTTTTTTTTTTTTTTACAAGTTACAACACAGTCACAAATATTGATTTATTTTAAAGGCAACAAGGCGTTTATAATTTACAACCTGCATGGCACAAATGTTGCGTTACCAGACCGGGAAAAGCCGAACGAATAACTCAATCGCGACCGGCAAAATGAACTTACTGACTCTATCGGATTTGGTTTGATTTATTTCCTTGGGTCATTCCCGGGGCAATTTACAAGTCTCCTCAAATTCCTGGGCCTGGTGGTCGACCTGTCAAGAGGTACAAGTGACAGGGCAGTTTCTTCAGACTGCAGTGAATCTGATGGAGTCAGTCTTGATTTGATCAATTGTATTGAAGTCAAGAACTACAAACCAGGCTCTCTGAAAGCAATTATGTAACCTAAAATGCTGTTAAATGGGCACTGTTAGCAACTGATCACAACAATGCCCCTTCTCCAATGGAGTGGACCTTTTTCAGACGTCCCCGATCGCAAGAAGTCCCTTTAAAAAATAAGGAAATAACTATGTGGCCACCCCCTCCCTGGGTCTCTTTTGTAGTTTTCTTTATGTTAACACATTTACACATGATATTTATTCATTATTTCAACACACGAACCTATAGTCGAATAAAAATATGATAAGAAAGCTTTGTAATGACAATGGACAAGTGACCAGTCAAATTTTCACTTTGGGATATTTTGATTGACCAAATTCTTCAAACCATTGCCGTTTTCAAACTTTGCTGCCTATCGAGACCATCTTTGTTGTGAACATGTGATTCATGCCAGTGCATCACGGGACCTTGGTTTCCGTTTGGAATATGAAACAAGACTTAAGTTATTTCCTTTATAAGGAAAGTGGCCGCATAGTTCGGCCAGCCGCAAATACTGTACTTACTCTTATATCACAATACTCTGTTTCTTCCTTCCACTCCCGACAGTGACAAATGTTTACACTACAAACCAGCAGAGAGTACCGTAAAAAACCTTGACCTGCTACTACTGTAGGGTGTTGAAAAAAAAAGAGGCAGAAAAATACAATGACAACTGTCTAACCAAACAAAAAAACAACCCACGAACACACCGTTGAACGAAGTCTTTGAAGTGACTGCTCTTTCCTTGAGTAGAGGAATACGATGCCCACATTGGAGCCCAAGGCGATAAAAGCCTTGTTGGCATCTATACAGGTGAGCACAAGATCACATGACTTGAGCAGGCCATGTTGAGCTTTCTTCGGAATCTGTGACAGAAGAGTATCCAGCTTCTCAAATTCCTGTAACTCCCGCAAAGGACTTGAGGAATCCTTGTCTACGTCCTGTCCCTCATCTCCCCTGACACTTGTGGCTGTTTCAGCCTCAGCCATGCTGCACTTCTGCCAGGAGTTTGTTCCTCAACAGTCACCAAAGCAGGCTTTTAGATAAGTCAAATGTAGATCATCTGCAGAGGAAAAGATGCTTCAGTCAGTAATAGTCTCAAATCAGTTTTGGTATTAGATTTTAGATCTAAATCTAAAACAGTAGGCTTAGATCCAGATCTACTTAATTAGATCTAGATCTAGATTTTAGATCTATATGGATAGATTTGTGCTAATATCTGTTTTTTATGGAAGAGGCTGCCATGCTAACCGTATTTAATAATGATGGCTGAATTGTAACAATAAAATTTTAGTTTGCAATAGCCTACCTTGTATTTCAGACGAAACAAAAAGGTGCTTTACTGTATTTTAAACTTGAATAATTACTAAATCTAATGAGACCTGTGTACTCAACTGGTTTCGGTCAATAGGGCCAAACCTAGATCTAAGTACGGCTACACTGGCAGGTTTGCTGTACTTAAGTATGGCTTGACAGCTAGGCTAGCCGTACTTAACCCATTGCACCCAGCTACAAGTATATTCGTAGCAGACACGCGCTTCCGTCCTCCGAGCTATGACAATAGTTGTAGCAATATCATCATCCTCATTGCCTTTCTCACCCTGTACCAGGGTATAGGCCACGGACAAACACCTTAACCTTTCTCTATCCTGGGCTAGCCGGTTGATGTAATTCCATGTCTTCTCACTTTTCTGTACATCGATTTCTGTGATTCTTCTCCAGGTTCCACGAGGTCTTCCCCTTGATCTCTTACCATGTGGGTTCCAATCCAAAACTTTCTTTGTTATACAGCTGCCTGACTTCCTGAGAGTATGTCCAATCTATCGCCACCGCCTTCTTCCTACCTCATCTCTGACTGGGATCTGTCTTGTTTTCCTTAATACTTCCACATTGGTGACCCTGTCTGTCCATCTGATCCTCTGTAACTTTCTTAGACACCTGTTCAAGAAAACCTGGATCCTCTTTATGCAAGTCTGTGATGCGTTCCATGTCTCACATCCACACAACAGGACCGACTTCACATTTGAATTGAAAATCCTCAGCTTTGTTTGAAGTGAGATATCTCTGGTCTTCCAAATCCTATCCAAAGCAGTCTGTGCTTTTCCAATGCGGGACTTTATTTCAGCACCTGTTCCCCCCCTCTCTGTCAATTATACTCCTAAGATAGCAAAAGATTCAATGTTTTCTAGTGCCTTTCCTTCTATTGTGACCTGCTCCTTTCGTTGTGCAACTGTCCTTAGGATCTTTGACTTTCTGGGGTGGATCCTCAATCCAACAGACTCCGATAGGCTGTTTAATACTGAAGTCTTTGCTTGCATCTGTTCCTGGGTGTGCGACAGAAGCGCCAAGTCGTCTGCAAAATCCAGATCGTCCAACTGTGTCCATCAGGGCAGGCGCGGTTCGTCCATAGAGCACGGTCGTGCAGTGCCGCCCAAATTTTTTTAATGTTCTTTTACGTAAAACGCCCACAATAAAAAAATAAAAGAAGCCAGAAACAAACACTGGCCAAATATTATATAAAAACATGGTCCTCACTGGCGCCATAACTGTCATTTCTGTGTCTATAGCGCCGTAAAACATCTACTATGCCATGCCAAAGTCCACGCACTTTAGCTAAACATAATAGTCTAGTATTCACAGGATATTCAACAGTGTAACCTGACCTATAAATCGCTCTTGGGGATTACCCAAGCGATGACGACACTCGTAGCGAGTTTGGCGGTACATTAATATTAACAAGACGGCACATCTCAAATGTGCTCCTGCCGAATAGTGCCGAAACATAGCCCACAGTAGGAAGTCTAAAAATAAACGCTATAGACCGTACGCTATTCTTTGCCAATATTATGTGAACCCCGGAGCAATCCATGGAGTGCTCAAGTGAATTGTGATTGGTTCATTGTCTGTCTTGCCACTATTTTAAGAGACTCTGTGACCGTGAACCTGAGGGAGGTTAACGTGACCTTTCTACGAGTTATGTGCCTTTGAATGGTTTTGTAGTGGAGTAGTGAAAGTTACTACATGTACTTGAGTGTTCAGTTCCATTACAGGAAGAAGGAAATTGATGTTTAGCTAACAAACAAATTTAGTAAGAAATCAAAGTGACAAGTAAAAAGAAAGAAAATAAAAGCACGACGTCCTCCCTCACTGACCCAAAGATACCTAAAATTATACACCGTTACATTTACTATGCCCTTGACTATCTTCTGCATGCCATAGCTTAACTGTGCACGTCCACTTTTTAGCTCCACGAGCCGCTCCTGGTGTCCACTGTATACCATTTCTGTGTCCTCTGGTGGTTTCCTTCATTAGCCAGTCGACTGCCAGTATGAAGAGGAACAGTGATAGTAAACATCCCTGTCTCACTCCAGTGAGAGAGGCAAATCTGCGCCGACAAATTATTAGTAATAGACCAGCGGGGCGACGCCGGAGAATAGCCACTTGCTTTTTTTGTTGCATATAGATCAAGGACTACTTAAAAACAGGACGTGCATAGCTCAGTGTCTGACTTCGCTAGCGGAGGCCACTGCCTGACTGTAGCCTGACACTTCGCTTGCTGAGGTCTACTTTTACTGCGTGGCATATGATTATGAACACATTTATGCAAGAATTTCACAAATTTACTTGAATATTCTTCTCTAAGGGCCTTTTTATTATGGCCGGCACTATTTCTCCGAACGTTCGGGAAAATAAAGCTGGGCACTATTTCTCCAAACGTTCGGGAAAATAAAGCTGAGCACTATTTCTCCGAACACTCTATGAAACCTCAAAATCAGGATCTCAGGGAGAAAAAATCGGGGTTTGGAGAAAAAAATCGGGATCAACAGCAAATCACCAAGGTGACTGCGAAAGCTACTTATTTTTCCACAGGTGTCCATAAATTACTTGGCATATATGCACTTTGAGTGTCTTTGTTTGTTTGTGTGTGTGTGTGTGTGTGTGTGTGTGTGTGTGTGTGTGTGTGTG